AACCCCGGCTTCTGAAGGCTGAGCCAAGGGCTCCTTTTTAGTAGCAACTTGCTCCTATTCTTCCTTGTTTTCATTTTCCTGGTGAGTATTTTCCACATCAAGGTTTTTCGTTGCTTGTTCCTCTTTGGACGCCATTATTCCTGGGCCTATCCTTGCTGGCTCCTCCTCCCGATTCTGGGAAGGTGCTTTGCTGCGACACTCAGACCTGCTCCGCTTTCCCCGGGCCCGATGCCAGCCCGCCGTGCGCTGGGCGGCGGGGAGCTGCTCAACTGGATGTTTCTTATGAGAGCTATTTTTAATTTACCTGTGTTATTCTATTCTATTCTATTCTGTCAGTCTAGATTGAAAAAGCTAGATTATTCTAGTTTAGGACTCCTTTTTTATGTCCTTGATTTCTCCAGTAACATTTACTGGTAGCGCTGGGAAGGTAGCTCAGCGGTAGAGTGCATGCCTTGCAAGCATGAGGCCCTGGGTTCGATTCCTCAGCACCACATAAACAGAAAAAGCCGGAGGTGGCACTGTGGCTCAAGTGGTAAAGCACTACTAGCCTTGAGCTGAAGAGCTGAGGGTCAGCGCCCAGACCCAGAGTTCAGGCCCCATGACCGACAAAAAAAAAAAAAAACCAAAAAAAACCCATTTACTGGTCTTTCTATTTTCTTTTCTAGTATATAATAGTTAGATAATGATAACTATTCATTGTCAGCTACTCTACTTTGACTAATTAATACTGTTACAGTATCTTAACTAAGCCAGATTTTACAGGTATGAAAGGAATAACCAGAAAGCCAAAGCTCTAACTTAATTGAACTTCTCCAAGACTGAAATTTAAAGAAGTAATTTAGATTAGACATTAGAGTTCCTGAGGAAAGTATCTGAAACTACTATCTCTTGGATCTACCCATTTGTTGGAAAATTTCCACTTAGACCCCTGGTGTCATACACAGAAATGTTAACTTTTTAAGGTGAAGGCTGTTTACTTGACTGTAGTGAATCAGAGAGTATATAGGTTGACTGAAGAACTTCATCTGAATAATGAAGTTGGAGGTTCTCCTATTGATTACTACTATTACTTCAGATAAGACATTTTTTCTTTACTTGCTTCAGTTTCTTTATCTGGGCTGGATTAGATTTCCAAAGGATATTTTCATGTCTGAAATTCTTCATTTTTTTTTTTTTTCATTGAGACTTTTACACACATACTCTATCCTCTCTGCTGTGGCTAATGAAAGAGAGTCAGTGAATCTCTAAGTTGTTATTATGTGGGGAGGCTATGAAAACATAATTATGGGAGATTTGAAGAGACTAGATGAATAGCTTTATTTAACATCACTATGTGATCATAAGTTTTCACATCTATATAGATTGGAGGGATTTTTTTAATTTTTAATTTTATTTTTTAATCTTTAGTTGTACACAGGGGTTTCAATTCAACATCAGTTTGTGAATACAAATGTATCTTTTTTATTTTTCTTTATTTTTTATTATCTTTATTTGTACAAATGGATTTTAACATTCAGTTTATTAGTACAGTGCATCTTGATCAATATCATCCCTTTCATTGATTAGAGTTTTGATTAAGGATAGTTAAGGTGGTGGGCAGAAATGTGTATTTCAAAAACGAGATTATTTTGTATAGTATTCTAAGGCTAACAAGCATGGAAATAGGGAAACAGAAATCTCGGGAGATAGTTTTAATCAGCAAAATTTAGTTATTTACTTTTGGGTATAATATACCAAGTCTCTTGTGGTGTTTCTTGTGGTGTCTTGAAACTTCATAATTGAGGAAAATGGAGAGAAAATAGAGAATGAATTATTGATAATCTATGAGTTGGATATTTTGTTAAACCTCTACCATTTGCTGGCATTTAAACTAATTTTCATGAGTCTAAATTTCTGTAATCTTGATTCCTTCTCATTTTCATGTCCTATGTTCTATATTTGCCTATTTATATAGTCTTGGGCAAGTTAGTGTGCAATTAACTCATTCATAAAATCTGTTTGCTGATGTATATCTATATACTCTTGTACTCTGGTGTTATAATGGAACGTGCTTCTGAGTTCTCATTGTATATTGTTCAGTACTGTAATTCTCCTTTTTCTGCATTATTATTTTTTCCCTCTCAACTTGATATTATCTTTTACCACAAGAGTATTTGTTTTCCTTCTTAAAAAAATCTTTTTGGGTACTATTTTCCACATTTATCAGTAACTATTTCCTTTTCAGTAAAAACAGTGCAGAGGGATTGAATATACTTTATTATCTCCTCTTACCCTTTCATAAATCCATTCTAATGAAGCTTGTGCTTAAACTACTTCATTGAAACTTGTGTAATTATTAATGGCGGATGATTATTCCCTTTAAAACATTTTTCTTGCTACACTTCCAGAAAACTACATGCTGTTGGTATGTCTTCTACATCACCTGACATGCCTTTGCTGATTCTTTTCCTCCACTATTTCATGTTGCACACTAAGCCTCAGTGTTTGGACCTCTTTGTTCTCTACCTGTTCTCACTTTCTTGGGATTACATCCATTCTTAGTGTGTAAGTATCACATCTTTGTGATAATCCCCCAAATTCATAATTTATGCCCATATCTATCTTGTATATCTACATAGGCAACTAAAACTTAATGTGTGCAAAACTGAGCACTTGTACTAATTCTTTGAACTTATCACTCCTACAGGCATGTAAATTTCTTCTAGTTGCTAGGGCAAAAGCTTTAGAGTCAGCCTTGGCTACTTGCTCATTAAAAAAATTTTTTTTGACTGACTCCACCTACAAAATGTAAAAATAGCCACAAAATTTGACCATTCTGTACCACTTTTCTATCACCCCAGGCCATATCACTATCAACTCTACCCTGGATTGTAGTTCTTACATCTGGAACCTATTCTGTAACACTTTAACCTGTAGAAACATAGTTTAGATCATCATTCCTATAAAACTTTCAGTGAGTTCTTTGTCTCTTGCAAAATAAAAACCAGTATCTTTGCAACTGCCTACCAGGACTGTATATGACTAGGCCTATCATTATTTTTCTTGGCCTCATCTCCTACTATTCTTCTTTTCACCTATCCAATTCTATTATTCTTATTTGCTATCTAAATATATCAGCACCAATTGCTGTTTCTTCTCTTTAGAAAATTCTAAAAAATTATTATCAATGAAGCCTTTTCTGACTACCTTTTTGAAAAATAATATGTAGAAACTAATTTTTTTTGGGTCTGGTTGTGGGGCCTGAACTCTGGGCCTGGGCGCTGTCCCTCAGCTCTTCAGCTCAAGGCTAGCACTCTACCATTGAGCCACAGCACCACTTCCAGCTTTTTTCTTTTTGCTTGTGTGGTGCTGAGGAATTGAACCCAGGGCCTTAAGCATGCAAGGCAAGCGCTCTACCACTGAGCCACCTTCTCAGCCCCTAGAAACTAATTTTTCTACATTCCCCCCATCCTTTCTCTATTTTTCCATAACATTTTAATTTATACCTAACATAATTATATATTTTACTTATTTTGTTTGTCTCTTCCTACTTACACTATGTACTCCATTAAGGCAGAATGCTTTCCACAATTGTCTAGCACAATGCTTGGCAATGAGCGAATGGATGAATAGTAGCTAATTTGTAGTATTCTTGTACTTACAGGAAGTATTCTGTGTTCACTTTTATTATCACCGTAATATATCCATGGACAGTCTTATAGGACATAAACATGAAGATTTAGTTGGGATGCCTGATATACTATCTTCTATCAGCCCAGTTTTGATTAGAAAAGCTACTAAGGAATATCCTTGGTGATAATTCTCAATGTTTAGATTAGTTGGAGGTTCCTTAGGAAATCTTGGTAATCAAGATCCTTTATAAGGAAAAAGAATATCCAAAATGAGAAATATTAAAAATATCACCAGAAAAAAACTGCTATTCTTTACTTGCCCAAATAGTACACGTAAGAGGAATTTCATAAGGTAAAATTAAACTCAAAGTGCACAATTAGTTCCTCCCTCCCTCCTTTCTTTTCTTCTTCCTTCCTTTCTTTATTTCACTTCCCTGTCTTCCATTTATTTATTTATTTATTTATGTTACTGTTTTTTGTTTGAGACCCAGGTCTTATAAGTAATCATCTTCCCTCAGATAGACTCCCAAGTAGCTGGGGGCTATGAGCATATCATGTATTTGGCTAGTGTTTTCTTTTTCTTTTCTAAGATCTTTTTTTTTTTGTTGGTCATGGGGCCTGAACTCTGAGCCTGGGCGCTGACCCTCAGCTCTTCAGCTCAAGGCTAGTAGTGCTTTACCACTTGAGCCACAGTGCCACTTCCGCTTTTTCTGCTTATGTGGTCCTGAGGAATTGAACCCAGGGCCTCATGCATGCAAGGCAAGCACTCTACCACTGAGCCACCTTCCCAGACCTAGTGTTTTCTTTTAAAAAATGAATTTAGTTGGGTGTGATGATGCGTGCCTGTAATTTCAGCACTGATGAGGCAGAGGCAGGAGTTTCACATTTAGGTCATATTGAGTTTCAGGTCAGTTCCATTGCAAGTTTCTGACTATATAGGGAGACTATTGCAAAAACAAATCAAATGCAACAATAACAAAACCACAACTCTCAAAAAGCAAATAAAAATGAATATTGAAGTTTTTAGTAAAAAATGGTTTAAAATTTTTCCATAATGAAAAAATAGCTTCCTAATCAGAAATAGTTATTTTTAAAAATATGTGATATCTCAGTTTCACATATATTTTTGTTGGTTGTGTGTGGTGTGGTGGTGGGATAAAGGCTTGTATTAGGATTAGTAATCATTACATAGTAATCTAAAGCTGTAGCCATCTATAGCTTTCATGTGTTACAACTGTCATGGCAGGAGCTTAGAAAGTTTTATTGAGCTAATTTTTGTTTCAGGAAGACTATAGATTTAATGGGTAGCTAAGATCATATACTTTTGTTAATTATTAACATTGCATTTCCTGTACTTAATAATTTAAGCTATCATTTTTATTGTGGTAGGCTCATAGCTGGCAACCTGGAATAAAAAATCCATACCGTGGTGTTGTTGTTTGGCCTGTTCCTGAAAACATTGAAATCACTGTAACACTTTTTAAGGTCAGTACTATTTTTTTCTTACTATTTTTTTTATGGATTTATTATATATTCATGATTTTAAATAAAATTTCAACACATTGGTATTCAGTATGGTATCTAATGCACGTTATTTTGTAGGGATAAAGCAATTTATAACATTGCAAAGGAATTACATTATGTTATGGTTTACAGTCTGAATTATCTGGGATTACTTTAAGTTGTTAACATCTAAGGTCAACTGAGATACCTCTGTCATAGTCTGTGCACAGAAAATGTTAACATACTTTTCCTGTGGAAAACTGAAGTTTGTAGAATTTTTCTTTCTGTCCCTCATTTGCTAGCCTTGTTTAATAATTTGCATGTAACTACTTTAGTAATTTGCGAATGACTACTTTACTAAATGTAATAAGATTTAAAAAAAATTGCTATTTGGGGGGGGAGGATTGGGTGTGGGGCGGGAGGGGGGAGACTGGGACAAACAGAGGAGGAGGCTACAATGCTTGATAAGAAATGTACTCACTATCTTGCCCATGTAATTGTAACCCCTCTGTACAGTATATTCTCAATAAAAAATAAAAAAATTGTTATTTGGCAAATTTGTTGATGTTCATAAATGTTATAACTTAAAAGTAAAATACTGGTTGTAAATTTGAAATGCAGATTTAAAAATATAACTGTTCTTATGCCTTTCTGCTTGTTTTATATGGGATTTTTTTTCTTGGAAGTCGTACATATTATTTGATATATTATCAAATAGTCTTAGCACATCTTATAATTAAGCCCTAGAGTATTTGCTTTCCTAACACATTCTTTTCCAGCTCCCAAAGTCAGGATGGGAGAGAAACAATATCTTGGTTTTAGCATTTTAGGTAGAGAATTAGAAAACAATGTTTCTTTTTTACATGATTCAAAATATACTGAAGTTACTTTTACAGTAGACAAGAGGAAGTAGAGCATCACATTAAACATAATTTGGTAATGTAAAGTTTGGAAAAGTCCACCAAATATTTAGAGCAATGTAAAATTATAGCTTAGAGAGTGAAGTTGCTGTATGGAAAAGTGATTTTGATTTTGTAAGCCAGTATATTAATTCATTTGGTGTTAGATTTTTTTCATCTCTGTGGAAAATACCTAAGAGAAACATCTTAAAGATTTATTTTGGCTCTCAGTTTCAGAAGTCTCAGTCCATGGTTGCTTGCCTCCATCACAGGCCTGGGGTAAGGCAGCCTATCTTGGTAGAGAGGCAATACTGGAGTGGAACTGCTCACCTCATGGCAACTAAGAAGCAAAGAGAGAGAGAGAGAGAGAGAGAGACAGACAGACAGACAGACAGACAGACAGACAAAGGAATAACCCCAGGACAAGTTATGTGCTTCAGAGGCACACACCTAGTAACCTTCTTCCTCCAGGGTGGTTACAACTTTAGGAGGTAGGGACTTCCTAAAATACCACCTCCCAAAATACCACAACCAGCTGGGGAACTAGCCTGTGGATATATTTTATATTCAAACCATAACACATACATTTATTCAGGAAGTATTACAGAGAGCAAAAGAACAAAACAGCGTGGTAAATGCTAATGTAGTAGCACATAGATGGAATAGTATTTTTAAACATTCTGTGTTTCATAGATACTCTTATCTAAGAGTCTTAATACAGTATGCATATTTGTTAGTTTTTATATTATATAATTGACATTAAAATGTAGCTTGATTATCTTGTTGTATATGTTACACATATACTTCTCTCTCTCTCTCACTCTTCTCCCTCTCTCTCTCTCTGATTTGCTTAGGGAGAAATAAGGGAGGAGACAGTATATTCTTTTTGTCTTCAGGTTGGTCAGAACCACTTTATTGTTAGTTTACCAGTTGTCCTAAAAGCCTATTATTATACCTGTCTTGTCTATAATTCTCCTATTGGAATGATACAAAAGCTTCATAATTAAAAGCAGTAATTTCAGTCTCTAGTTCATTAGTTCATTTAGTTCTCATAGCATCCATAAGGTTCTGTAGTTATTCTTATTTTATGGAAAAGGAAGATGAGACTAGAAAGGATGGTAACTCGCCGAAATGCCCTGAATTTGCCATGTTCTTTCCTCTATACTGTCTACATCATGTAACAACTTATAAATGTCAACTACAATAGCAAGATCTCTGATATTCTTCAAGGAAGGCATTTAAGTAATCTCTTGAGTATTTTGACTTAGTGTGTTGTTCATACTGGCAAAACAAATGAATGGATATGGTTATATAACTTTCAAAGGAAATGATGACAAGCGAACAAGGGATTAGCATGGAACTGAAACACAGCTGATAGCCATGTGTTTGGGGAAAGGATATGCACTGCCTGAGTCATTCATAGTTGGAAGTGACTATTGAAATGTGCAGCTTGTATAGGATTAAAGGTATATAGTTTTTGAGTATAGATGAGAATGTTCAGCATATCCTTATCAGTGAACATTTATGCCTTTGAATGTTAGGAAAACAACAAACACTTTCTAGCTTATGATAATAAAGATTTCTTCTCAGTTATACTATTGGGAAACATTGAGATTATTTTCAATATTTACATGGGAATTTTCAACTGATGCTTTTTATTTCCGGACTCGCTCATATCCCCAGAATTTTACTAGAAAAGCAGAAAAGTAACACAGAAAAATGAAACAACTTCATTATTTCATCGTAATTTTTTGGATCCCATTGTTTAACAGTTTTTCAAATGAAAAAATTCTTTATATTTCCCTCTTCCTTATACTAAGTTTCACAATTTGCTTAATCTTGAAGTTTGCAAAGGGCTGCTTGGATTCCTTGTCTTTATTGGAGCATTCACAGAGGTAAACTCAGAACAGTGCTTTTGAAGAAAGCTATCACTCACTGTATTTCATTTTTCTATGACTTAAGTAGAACTTAGTTTCTTTCTTTTTTTTTTTTTTTTTTTGTCGGTCATGAGGCTTGAACTCTGGGCTTGGGCGCTGTCCCTGCGCTCTTCAGCTCAAGGCGAGTGCTCTACCACTTGAGCCACAGCGCCTCTTCCAGTTTTTGAGTGGTTTATTGGAGCTAAGAGTCTCACAGACTTTCCTGCCCCGGCTGGCTTTGAACAGTGATCCTCAGATCTCAGCCTCCTGAGTAGCTAGGATTACAGGCATGAGCTACCGATGCCTGGGTAGAACTTAATTTCTTATATGCTTCTATCTGAAGTCTAAATTTTATTGAAAATAATTGTTTCTAGTAAAGTTTTTTAAATGCTTTTGGATTTTGAGAAGAAAAAAAATAGCTGTTAAGCCATTTTGATTCTTCTTTTAGTACAGTAGTAATAAAGGAGACCATAGAGGGTGAGTAGTAAATAAAGAAGACTTAATTGATTCCAGCAAGAAGCCATTCTCATTAAGAGTGTTTTTGTCTGGTCAGTAGTATAAATATTTGATTATGTAAAGATGCAATTTTTTTTAAGGTACAATTTTTTAAGTACCTTGAGAATGAACATTATTACTACTACTTTCATATCTTCTTCCTGACTTTGCCCTATCAGATGTTTCTTGGATCCATTGGAATTGTTCATTAGTGAAATTTTTTTTTTAGGGGTAAATTTTTTAGGTTTTTTTTTTTTTTAATGTTTCATTTGCTTTAATGTTACTGTTCAACATTTGCCGATTAAGCCATTTGTAAATACTCTTGGAATCCTGTTATGTTGTCAGGTACTTTTCTTGATCCTAATGACACAGATTAAACTGAATGTGCAAACTAGGTAAAAGACATAAAAGTGCAACACAGCCATTTTTCTTTTCTTTTTTCCCTCCTTTGTCATTCATGGGATTGGACTCAGGGTTTTGCATTTGAACTACTACTTAATCTGTGCCCTCACTTGCTGTCATTTGTTGTTGTTTTTTTTGAGATAGGGTCTTGCTAACATTCTCTGGGCCATTCTTGACCTTGAAATCCTGCCCCTGCCTAGCTAATAAATGTATGCTGCCACAGTCAATTTGCAGCATACCTTTTAACATTTAGTTGTGTTCTTTTGGTTTCTGTTTTCTGTGTCATTAAGTGGGCATAAATCATTTAGCAGAATAACTGGGACATAGTGAGTGCTCAGTAAATATTTTCACCTTATTATTAATTTGATACTAGTTGTGCTTAGAGCTTTATTGTCCCCAAAACAAAAGGATGACCTAGAGGACAGTAGGATGTCTTTCCCCAGCATTGTATTACATTTTATTAGTTGCTAAAGAATCATTGTTTATGCTCTGAATGCATCATAAAAAAGTCAGACAAAGCCAGCTAGGGAAACTATTTTTCTATTCTACCCTGCCCTATCATTCTCCTGCCCACAATTACCAAAGCAATTCTTTTCACAGATTTTTGTCTTATCTGAGTGAATTTACTCATAAAAATACAGCTCAGACTATGTGAGCCAGTTACCATGTTACTATAGTAAAAAAGTAATGGAAATAAAGAACTAAGGAATTTGGGATTTATCTCATAGTGTTTATGCTGCATTAAGGAAATCTAAGTTATACCAACATCATCACAAGTTGTGTCAATATTATCAAAACTGTGGTTTGGAAATATTGAGCTGTCTATGAGATTAAATGGAAAAGCAGATTAAGTGAGAGACTACTATAGCCACTTTTAGTTCAAATAATAACCTTGGAATAACTTAACTGTGGCCATAGAAACAGAAAATTAGTAATAGACTAAAGTAGAATCAATTATATAAGATGCTTCCCTGTGAGAAGCATATGAGACCTAAGACCCTTCCCATCTGTGTTAGTTTAATCTTAGAATAGAATATTGAGCCAAAAGCTTGCTCTATTGAATTCTCTCCCTATCTTTAACCTGTCCTATCCTTAGTGCATGAAATTGAATGCATATTTAAAATGACTCTACATACTCAAATATCAGTGGAAATCTTATGTAATTTAGGTAATCCAGAGGATTCTCTTGTGAGAGTTTTGTCTGTTAATTCCTGCAAGATGTATTATGTTTTTAAAAAACACTTCTGGCAAAGCTATTTCTTTCATTGGCCATGGATTTAAATAAATACAATATCTAAATAGAGTTTGTGTGTGTGTGTGTGTGTGTGTGTGTGTGTGTGTGTGTGTGTGTGTGTGTGTGAAAGCAAAAACAATTATGTTTGAATCTGTAGAATCCCTCTACAGTTTTGTATATAATAATATATTTGACAAGTAAATACCTGCAAATGAATTCTCATCCTCTTCTTCCTACTCCTCATCTTCATCTTCTTCCTCCTCTGCCACCTCTTCTTGCTACTTCCCTTCTTCCTCCTCTTTTATTTAAAGGTTATATTGAAGATTATAACCTTTTCTGCAGTGTCATGCATTTCCTTAATGGAGGAGAGGGAGAAAAGGGTATTGAAAGCCCATGTTGACTTGTCATTTTGTCTAGATTGTGAAATGCTTAGCAGTACATAGAAATTCCAGGTGGTTATATAATTTCATTGAAAAATACTGTATTTGAAATGATACATTTAGTTCTAAATATATACAGGTATAAAAGTGAGGACAGTTTTATATGACCACTTTTTAAAAAATAATAAAATACTTTTTAAAATAGTTCATTAACTAGGTTATCTTTCTCCAGTCAGATAAAAGTAAAATAGAGAATTTCATTTTTTTAGTGGTACAAGGGTTTGAACCCAGAGCCTTGTCCTTGCTAGGCAGGAGCTCTACTGCTCTACTCACCTTCTTGAATATATAGGATTTTAGGTGTAAGTCACTGAGTCCTGCTGAGAATTTCTTAATATAATTAATTTAAATTTAGAAAAATTATGGAAGTATCCAAGAAGAAAGCTATTTTGTCCCTCCCTTTTTAAAAAAGTAAAAGCTAAAATGTAAGATTATTTGCATTTTATTAATGGAATTGACTGTATTAACATTTATTTCAATTTCATGTTTTGCTGTTGTTACAGGATCCGCATGCAGAGGAATTTGAAGACAAAGAGTGGACATTTGTCATAGAAAATGTAAGCTAATGGCAAATACCCTCAACTTTTCATATTTTCACCTTATTTATATGCTTATATATATGTTATGGTAAATGAGCATTTTGGTAATAGAAACATTGTCTTACAAAAATTTAATGAGTAATATGTAAGTTTTAGAAGTTCTTGAAGGAAATAATAACCAATAGCAGAATTATCTTTTGTTAAAACTGTAAGAATCTTTAATACTAAATCATATTGTTTTGGACTTGAGGGAAGAATCATATCTTTTTTATTTTATCTCTTCAGCATATCACATTTAACAGATTTTCATTTAAAACATTGTTGAAAGAAAGACCTTTGGAAGCTTTCAAAATAAAATATGCACTTTTTGTCTTTATTTGGATTGAGAGATTAGTGCTTTAGTAATTATCGTAATTTATATATTTAGAATACCTGGAGAGTAGCAGTTATATAGCAGGTATTCAATAAATGTTTATTAGATTGAGACATCAGTTATACATACCTAGTGACTTAGGAGTCTGAGATGGAGGATTGTGGCTCAAATTTAGCTGAGGCAAAAGTCTGTGTGACTTCATGTCAAAAATAACTAGCAAAAAGCAGAGTTGAAAATATGGCTAAAGTAGTAGAGCACCAGCCAAGGAAACTAACCAAGCAATTGCAAAGCTCTTAGCACAAACCCTAGCATTGGCAAAAAAAAAAAAGGAAAGAAAAATAACTAAATAAATAGATAGGTAGATATTTATTGACAGAGGTAGATATTTATCGACCAGGAATTAGAGAAAAAAGGTGCTAAAACTATAGTGATTAAGACAATAGGCTTTGATGTCAGACCTCATTTCAAATTGTAGCTCTTCTACCAAGCTTGTAATCATGGAAAAGTTTCTTAACTTGTGGCATTAAGTAATTCTTACTGAATGTTATCTTTACCATTGCTGTTGTTATTATCAGCATAACAAAGTTCTGAAGCATATCTATAACAGGCTATGCTTTGCATTATATTCTTCCTTTCTTACTTGGCTTTGTTTTATGATTAAAAAAACAAAGAAACAAACTTAACTTTTCTCATTAGTATTTGTACCATTTTCAGAACTAAAGATCTGGGGAAGCTCAAGACCAGGTCCAAATACAGTAGGGGACTCTGATATCTAAAAATTAAGCCATTGTCATCATATTAAAGGTTTATACTTTTCTGCAATGATAGATTTGAGCGATATGCTTGAAGTAGCATATTAAAGATTAAAGAAAAATCTTTGGCTTATTGAAATAGAATATAGACTCATACTAACAATCTCATATCAGAAACTCACATCATATACATATCAAGAACTTCTCCCCAGTGGATGGCACTCCACTTTTCAATAATCATGGCCCAATGATACATCTAGTCTGTTAATGTGATACATGAACAAATTAGCTAGTTAAATTTAAAGTGTAATTAGTGGCAACTTTATATCTGTTCAAAAAGATATTCTTATTCCATAGTTGATTTTCATACCAAGCAATGGAATTTCCAAATTTCTGATAAACAAATTACAAGCTACAAATTACTGCTGAAAGGTACAAATCAAAAATAAAAAAGAAAGGACAACTGTATGAGATATACTAGGTTTGTTTGCGAAAGTCATTTAAATAATGAGATTTGGGGAAAATGTTTTTCTTAAATTCCATATTATATATCTTATAAAGGCATTTAAAATATATCTATACATAAAACAATTGGAAATATGTAATAAGGTATTTTTTTATTGTGAAAATACCTTACAGAGGAGTTACAATTACATGGGCAAGATAATGAGTACAGTTCTTATCAAGCATTGTTGCCTCCGCCTCTGTTTCCCTTTCCTATCCCTTCCCATCTCCCCTCCCTCCCCCCATTTTAAATGTCTCTGGGAAATTCCTTTTTTTGGGTGAGGGGAGGGGTTGGTCATGAGGCTTGAACTCTGGGCCTGGGAGCTCTTCAGCTCAAGGTGAGCACTCTACCACTTGAGCCACAGCTCCACTTCTGGTTTTCTGGTGGTTAATTGGAGATGAGAGTCTCACAAACTTTCCTGCCTGGTCTGGCTTTGAACTGTGATCCTCAGATCTCAGCTTCCTGAGTAGCTAGGATTACAGGCATGAGACACTGGTGCCTGGCTAGGGAAATATTTTAAAACTTAAATGGTAAAGTTTGAATAGAATATAGAATGAAAAGATGTAATTTGTATTATTGTTTCCATATTAAGGTATATATTTCTCAAATAAAAGAGCATATTTAGCCTTTTTAAAATGTAAAGTATTTTTAAGCTCAGGAGATTATCTTACCCAGTTTATTTATTACTCAAGATAGTTGAAGTTCCTTAGAAATCAGACATCAGGTAAGGAATTGAACATATATTAACATTCTTTCTATATTAACATTCTTAAATTCATAGTAATACAATAATAATAAAGTTTTAAACTACTATTTGTTAGTTATTTTATAAAAATCAAGGTTGTAATTGAAATATGACTATAAAGTTTAATTATATAATCAAACTATTATGAAAATGTTACTGTGCATGATAGGGTGAGAGAACAGCTAACTTTTAGAGATGTTCATCTGCTATGCTTTTGGCAGCTGAGTTTCTGCTTCTATACCTTTCTACTTCCACATATTCTTACTTGAAAAAAATTTTTGTATTTGTCTCATTTCATAGTGTAATGAAATCATGAACTTAGTAGAGTTCCTGATGTGTTGTATCTTCAAAGCTGGTGACTTTGAGTAGTTTATTCTCTGGAATTCAGTTTCATATATGATTTCAGAATTATTTTCTATAATTTTTGTTTTAATAGAAATATTTTAATAATCTATTTTGAAAGTAAATTTTAGTGCAGAGTTTTGATTTTCAAGTTCATGAAGAATGAACTATTTAAAGTAGTCATCTACAGTAGCTTTTTTTTTTTTTTTTAAAAGATGGTTTTGTACTATGTTGCCCTGTGTAGCCTCAAACTCCTGGGCACAAATTCTCCTGCCTCAACCTTCCTAGTATCTGGGACTATTATTTGCTATTATCCCCAAATATGGACTATATTGTGCTCTCTAGGTAGCATTTTTATTTTTTGGGCTAGTACTTTTTAATCAATTAGTGACTGACAGATTCACTTTAATATATATAAATAAATGCTATATGTAATGTATTACTTAAATATTTTATATATATGTATGTATATATATATCAAAACTCCACTTTTGGGTTTTTGCTGGTTAAATTGGAGAGAAGAGTCTCTTTGACTTTCCTGCCTGGGCTTTGTCTATATCCTTTTAACTTGGGTTGTACATGTTGTTGTATTTCCTTTTCTGAATTCTTTAACATAACAATTCTTATTCCCTATATCTTGTTCCTGTAGTATATAGAAATAGTATATAGATATTTCCTGTGCCAGATTGGAAAAATAAGAAAAAGAGAATATAGAATAATGTAAGGCAGCCATACACTTAAAGGCTTTTACTTTTGTAACAAATTTAATTTTTAGTCAAGAGAAATTAATGGCCATCTTTTAAGGTCTTTTACTAATAAAACTTAATGAGCATGGTAGCACACTTCTTTTTTCTTTCTCTTTTTTAAAAAAAATTGTAAAGGTGATAAGACAGAGGAGTTACAGTTATGTAAATTAGGTAATGAGTACATTTTTTTAACAGTGTCAACTCTTCCCCCATTTTCTCCCAATTTTTCCCCTCCCTACCCTCCTGTTCCCTAAATTGTGCAGTTCATTTCCAACATAGTGTCTAGTGACTATCATTGCTAAATTAGTTCACTCTTTGTCCCACTGTTTCTGTGCTTTCCCTTCTCCTCCCTAAATCAGATACACTTATATACAAGAGAAAGAGTACAGAAATAAAAAAACAGAGACAAAAGGGGGAATAAGCCAAAGGGGAAAAAAATTAGCACAAACTATAAAAAACCTTGTTTCCATTTCTTGGAGTTCTTTTTAATAAGCATCATTTTATATGATTGTATGCACATAGCTATTGAGCCCTTGTGTTCCTCTCCTAAAAATATAGTCTCATTGTGTCAATGTTTAGAGTCCTGTTTAATTAATCGTATGCAAGTATACTTTTTTTGTCTTTTACTATCCATTGGGTTTACTTGTAGATTTATAGGTACATTTTATTTATTTATTTTTTAATTTTATTTTTTTGGGAGGTCCGGTTGTGGGCCTGAACTCTGGGCCTGGACGCTGTCCCTCAAAGTCTTTCCATTCCTTATAAATTGGGCAGTGTCATTCTCTCTGATGGAAGCATAGAACTCCATTGTGTATACATACCACATTTTCTTTTTTTTTATTGTGAAAATACTGTACAGAGAGGGTACAATTACATGGACAAGATAATGAGTACATTTCTTATCAAGCGTTGTAGCCTCCTCCTTTGTTTCCCCTTCCCTCCATTCCCATCCTCCCCCCAACCCCCCACCCAATTCTTCCCCCTCCCCCTCCCCCCAAAGTTGTAAAGTTCGTTTTTGACATAATAACTTGTACATCTCATTGTTGCAATGGGTCCACCTGTATCCCTATTTAAATGATTTGTTTTTCCCCTTTCCCTCCACAAATTATACCGACATCAAATACAGTGAAAGCAGGGGTTATACTGTGGGGGAGGGACATACAAAGCAACAAAGAAATAATCTTATAAATCTGTTAGAAACAATCACATGAAAGAAAAAAAAAACATTTGAGTACATATCTTAGGGTTCATTTCCCTAACATCAACTTATCTGACCTTTTCTGCTTGATATTGCAAATAAGGGAAACCAATGGACCTATGTTTCTTTGGGCCTGGCTTACTTCACTTGATATAATTTTTTCTAAGTCTTTCCATTTCCTAACAAATGGGGCAATGTCATTCTTTCTGATGGAGGCATAGAATTCCATTGTATATATATATACTACATTTTCTTGATCCATTCATCTACTGAGAGGCATCTGGGTTGGTTCCATATCTTAGCTATAGTAAATAATGCTGCAATAAACATAGTTGTGCTGGTATCTTTAGTGTGGTC